GTCAAATTAGCTATGTATTGACGATCAGGATTTCAGTCAAATTTTACGCAATAAAATTTGAAGGCAAGAGAAAATAGAATTTGGTAAGTGAAGCCAGACAAATAATAGGGGTAGAGTATGTGGTGAAGCTAAGATCTAAGGAAAGATTTAAAATTGCACAATTGGATATTGAGGGCATTTTCGTTCGTGAGGCAAAATGTAAAGCCCTAAAATCCAAATATTACATAAAATAAAAATAAACATTAAAAGTAATTTTTTATATAATACCCTAATAATATATTAAAGAATGGCATTAACTTTCTATTAAACTATGAAGTAACAAATTTGCATGCATATAAAACCAAAAATTGCACAAGATGTAGAGTGACAAGTCATGAATTGCAAGAAATAGAATTGAAATCAAGAGTACAACAACAACAACAACATCAAGCCTTTATCCCACTACGTGGGGTCGGCTACATGAATCCTTTTTCTCCATTGTGTCCTATTAAAAGTCAAATTCTCGTTTAAATCTAATAAAGAAAGGTCATTCTTAATATTTTCTAACCAAGTCTTTTTAGGGCTACATGAAATCAAGAGTACAACAACATAAAAAACAGGAATTACATAAAAGTAACATATAACATCAAATTCAACTCCAAATTCCTTCTTTCTCACATCCCTACTCATCCATATTTAATTCCTAAATAAAGCTGAAATAGTTAGCAAAAACTCAGAAATAATTTGTATTGTCATCATTGAGAGAGTCCTTATTTGACTCGTCGTCATAACAAATTGATCTCTTCCCAACCTCATCCTGTAGAATTCAATGCCTCCCAATCTGCTTCTTGTTCACATTTATTTTAGTCATCCTTCTCTTTCATAAATGTTTGTCATCAACATAAAGATAAGGGTAATACTCCAAATTTTTTAAAGGAGGTGTTGGTGGTGAGAAACTTCCAAGTGCTCCCCAGCAGGAGATACGATGGTGAATACGACGAGCTGGAGGTCAAGGCAGTTAAGAGGTAGTTGCGGCTCAAGGGTGCATGAAGGTACAATTTATTTGGGGCTTTAGTTTAGGATTTATGTAAGTTTTAATTAAAAATATATAAATATGATGAGGCGTATGCATCACAACAACGAGGCGAGGCACGCCTCAGCCAAATTGAGGTTTATGCCTCGTAAAAAAGGTTTAAGGTGTAAGCCTTAAGATATTTTTCACTAGAATTGTGTTGAGGCGAGCCTCATATTGTGCAATTTGAAACAATGATCTAAGCTCATGGTGTTCAACAAGATTTATCATTTTAAAAAGTACTATAATGAATTAAAAAATAGAATATTATCATTTTTTAAATTTATATATTTATTATGTTTTCAATTTTAAAATATATATCCATCAACAACAAACTAAACAATCATTTATTTAAAGTCCCTTGTTAGAGTATATAATTGATTATCATTGAAAAAATATGATGTCAATAAAACACTAGTAAGGTGAAAATGTAATTTTAATTACTTAATTTAATAAACAAATGCAAATATAATTATCTTTTCGAGGAAATATTAATTATTTGTAAATTGATGTGATGACTAAGAATAAAACTAAGAAAATTAGAATAAAGTAGTACTTTATATTATGCTCTTGGAGAAATGCTCTTTAGACAACTCAATTTACTCATTTCCAATATAACATGTGTTTATCTTTAAAAAATGTCATGCTACCACATCATCTTCTTGTTCAACATGCTCATATTGTACATAATATGCCAAATGAGATATGTTCAAAATGTGTTACTTTTCAGGTGTGACAAGCAATATTCATATTATTATATTCAGAAAAATATAAAGAAGGTGATGGTATCATTAAAGATTATAATCAATGCTTTGAATAATCCAATTTCCTATTGATTTGGCACTTGAAAAGAGACAAGGATTTCTCTTATCACATTAAACAAATTACAAAATTATTTTCCCTATTTTTTAGATCCAAAAAGTGGTCAAATTGTACCATTTCACATAAAAAACATGACATCGAGGAAAACAAGCTATTGGGCTTTGAGATGCACAATACATATAAGTATAAGAATCCAAGTGGTCCAGTTCTAGATTAACTCTGCCCCTAGGTAGAGTGTTCTCTATTACAATGATAGGAAATTGCAATTGAGAATGGCATATAAGGACCAACAAACAATGGGTCAGTTCAATGGGATATTGTCCCTCAATAGGAATGTGTGTACGATCAAGCTAAAGCTTTAGCATATGGTGCTAGATTAAAGGTAACAAATTAAAAGAAACAAGAATTAATGATGTGCCTAAAAGTAATGTGGGTGGTGAAGTGCACAAGATCATAAGGATTCCTTTTTATATTAAGAAAGAATGGGCATGAAGGGTCCCTCCACTGTCTCTCTCTCTCTCTCTCACCCTTGCACTATCTCCTCTTCCTCTTTCTCTCCATCTTTCCCTCTTCCTCTTTTTGTCTCTGTTCCTCATCGAGCTTGCAGATTTTTAGCAAACGACAATGATCATGGGATCAAAGTTAAGCCATAAAAATGACTTGCAAGAATACATTCAGATTTTAATTCATAAATTTAATGAAAAGCAAGCACAAACTAGAATATGATTAGCATAGTCTGACGAAGAATTTGGGTAGAGTTGTTGCTATTATAAAGATCTAAGGAGATTGGAATTGGGAACGCTGGAGGAGTGAATGCGTACAAGGACAGGCATGAAACAAATAATGGGCTATAGTCCCTGAATAGAGATGTTTGAGCATCAAGCTAGTGTGCTGGTTTATAGTACTAGCTGAAGGAAAAAAAAAACAGAAGATGGGTTAAAGAATAGAGAGTGCACAAAGAGCTGACTGGGTGGTAATGCTTCGAAGATTATAATGATCTTCTTTTGTATTGAGAAAGGATAAGCATAAAACTGGCTTTCATTATTATTTACAAACCCTCTTCTCCAGGGAAAAAACAGCCTTATAGGCAGCCATAAAGGACTGGAGAGTGCACAAAGAGCTATGTGGGTGGTAATGCTTCGAAGATTATAATGATCTTCTTTTGTATTGAGAAAGGATAAGCATAAAACTGGCTTTCATTATTATTTACAAACCCTCTTCTCCAGGGAAAAAACAGCCTTATAGGCAGCCATAAAGGACTGCCCACGTTCTGCCGCTTCATGAATTCTAAATTTTGCAAACCTTCGCCATCTTTTAAATGTTCTACTTCTACACAAACTACTATAGACAATACCCATATTTTCCATTTATTTTTATTTCTTATACCTGTTAATCCTAAGTAGATGTATTAGATTTGACTTATGTTAAGAAAGATAGAGGTAGACCTACAAAAATTTGTTTAGAAAATATTAAAAAAGATGTTTCTTTATTAGATTTAAATAAAAATTTGACTCTTAACAGGACACAATGAGAGAAAAATGATTCAAGTAGCCGACCCCCCATAGTGGGATAAAGCTTTGATGTTGTCGTTACTGTATAACTGTTAATCCCACATTCCCATCCCATCCATGGCATTATAACTGTTCAAAAATCAGAATTTACAAATGGATAGCAGATGGTATTAGGTAACTTGATAGTTGTATAAGGAAGAATCTTGTTATAATTGTTAATCCCCTATCCAACCCATACCCCACCCCACTCTCTAACAAACAATGTACGTGTAGTCTTGCACACATAGCAATTCAACTCATGAAATTGAAAATCAAGCGAATTATATGATCAGATAATACCTTATGTCACAAAATTTGAAGCAGTAATTATGCCAATAGAAGAACTCAGCTCTGCTACAGGATACAGAAGAACAATTTTTCTTTAATAATGACAGTAAACGTACAAAAGGTTAAGACACTCTAGTTTAAAAAAATGATAATATGAAAGACAACAACTCTAGTTCTCAAGGAAAAGGGAAATGAACAAGCAATGAAAAAGAAATATTCATGCATTAATCTCAAGGCTAGTTTCAGACTATTTTTTTAAGAAATTTACAGAAACATTGCCATTGGTTATTCAATGATGGCTACCACAACCAAACAATAACTTCATAAGCTTTTCTATTCCAAGTCCTTGGACCACATAGGGAAAGTATGCACAGAAAGATTTTGAAGGCTAGCCAGCCTTGAGGATGACTCACTCACACAGGCAACTTTATCAATAGGAAGGAATAAATTAAATCTAATAAGCATTAAATTTATTACTTCTTAAGGATTTAGGAAGTCAAGCTTCTGATGTATTAGAGCAAACTAAGAAGCAAAGCATATGCTTCAAGATCAAGATTCATACATTTGAAGTTCAAAAACAACCTTCAAAAGAGAAATATTTCAACAAAAAACTCAGAAAAATTTTATGGTATATTCAGCAATAAAACTAATAGCTTTCAGCAAGAGCTGCCACAACACAAATAGTAATTTCATAAGCCTATTTAGATCATTTGAAGCTTTGCAAGTCAACCAAGTTTTCTGTATATGATTAGCATAATGATATAAAACACGTAACTCAGTAAGTTTCATAAGGAAAAAAATTAGAAATTTCTTTCATATTCCGCCAACAGTATCAATTTCCTTTACAAATAACACATAAAGAATGTTCACATGATTGACTTTTTCATATTAAATAAGCAAAAAATAAAAACAATCAAGAGAAAAAAAGATAATGAATCAATAAAACTGTGCTTATGCTAATTATTGTCAATAATAGCATCCGCAATAGAGATCACTTCTAGTTTTAAAGGAGAATAAGATCCTTATATATTATAGTTGACATTAGAAATAGTCAGTTATTCAATATTGACACCTATATCTTATGTTTCAGGATAATTTTTCCTACTTAGGTAGAAGGAATTGAGTAACAGCACAAAAAACTAAAATGCACCATTTGCAAAATTCTTTGAAACCAAAATTTAATCTCTTCATAGAGTGCTACACTTAGAATGCTTCAAAAATAATAATCTAATATGGCTGCATGATGAATGAATTATTTGAAATATAGATGAGGAAAATCAAAAGTTTACCATGTAGATGATTTTCCAATGATCCCAAGGGCAGGTACTCATACACAAGAAGCCTTTGATCTCCATCGGCACAGTAACCAATCATATTTACAAGATTTGGATGATGCAATAAACTGAGCATGAGGACCTCCACCAGAAATTCTTTATTCCCTTGTAGTCCATTTCGATCCAGCTGCTTCACAGCCACAATCTGGTGTTGCAAGCAGAAAACCTTATCAGTTTAATGAATAAAACAGCAAATTCTTAGACAGTGGAACCACAAAAGATGGTTTTGAAAATGACATTAGTTGGATTAATGATTTTTAAACTTTGTCGTAGCTTTGGCACTACATAACTTAAATTTTGATCTCAACTAAATCCACAAAAAGACACCAAACATACCTCTCCTGTCTCCAGACGTCCCTTGTGCACACTGCCAAATCCCCCTTCTCCTAGAAAACATTCCTGTCTAAAGTTTTTTGTTGCAGCTGCAAGTTGCCGAAAGGTGAAGGTCCTTGCAGAAAAATCACTTCCAGAACTCTTGTTTTGATTCAATGCCTCCAACTTCAAACCACCCAATTGTCTCTTTTCCGAAACATTCACCTGTTCCCTTTTAAAACCATTCACTAGTTCTCTCTTTGTATCAAAACTGTTTCTAGAATTCAAGCCTCCATTCCCTGAGAGTAAAACAGGTACCACGAACTCAAAAAGTTAGGGGCAGTTGGGCTACCAGTACGAGTTAATTTAAGTAGGATTTAGTAAATCTCGTAAATCCAGATTTAGTAAGTCTTGGAATTGTTGAATTTAAAATTAGTTTGGCATGATAGATGTTAAATCCAATTAAATCTTATTAAAAGTTTTGACAAATATTTTTAATATTTACAATTTAAATCAAAGTGAAAAAGAGGCATAGTAAGAGTAGTGTAAATCTCTTAAATTTCCCAAGGATTTGATAAATGCAGATTTAACCTAAAAGTAGAGGAAAACAAGATTTAACTAAAGTATTAGGAATTATATGGCTCAAACTATTTGGAAAATTTTAGCATGAATCCTGATTAAACCTTGCCTAAATCTTGAATCCAAAAAAAAAACCCTTTAAAAAATTGCTCAATCGTCAAACACTGCTCCTATCACTAAGTCATCACTGCACCACCTACTCCATTAACTAAGAAAAGTTCAGTCTAAGTACCAAACAATCAAGAACTATAGCATCAGATTAACCAAATGCCAGTCCAAAATGACTGAAAGGCACAAAAAAGTGAATTCGAAAGTCATAAAGCACATTACGCATCAGCAAAGTTAACCTAATAATCCAGATCAAGTAGCATTCCATCAACCGGCATAAATATGATTGAGAACACAGAAAAACAATCAAAACACCTCCTTTAAACCATATCAGACCAGCTTTACAAAAAGAAAGACTAACAACATCTCAAGTAAATCATCAGCAAATCAAGAACAAGACATCAGCGCTCACCCGCAGGCAATCTATCGACGCTCGGGGGCATCATTGGCTTCTCCTCCCTCGTCTCATCCTGTTGCCGGCTCCCGCCGACGAATTCCACCGCCTCGTCGTTCCAATCGAAGCAAGGGAAGAAGCAGGGCATCTCCCCGGCCGAACTAGGCTGGAAAGGAGAAGCACTTTACGGATCGGAATCGGAATCGGATTCACACAATCGGATCCCGCCACCACCGCACATCTTCGATCGTCTCTTCGCCCTGAGAACGGGTTATCCACATGAACTAGAACTAAGGAAACGACCAATACCGAGGACAAGTCGCTCGGGGGTTTATAGCTGCTCCTTTGACTAGTCCGATACTAGGCAGAGTAGATGGGAACAGAGGCGGCCGCCTATTGCAATGTGGCAGATGGATTAATTTAACAAAACTTCTGATTTTGATTTTATATATATATATATATATATATAATGTAATGGAGTATCTATAGTGGTAAGAAAATAGAGAGTTTAATGTATTGATTTTATATGAAGATTTAATATACATACACAAATAAGAGATATGGGTGCAAGAATTATAAGTGACCAGAAATTTCACATGAAAATGCAAAATGAGGAAAAATTATAGGGTCGGGCTCAGTTGAAATAATTTCACTATTTGTATAGTTGATTAGAAATAATGTCGTTCTTTAGAGGAAGGCACTGATATAATGTAGAATATGTATTGTTAGAGTTGGAAGAATCCAATAGCATGAAAAGCTGATCTTAAAAGACTAATGGCATGTTCATTTGGTCAACATGGTCGTAATCAGACGATTGTGGTTATAGGACCATGGTCGATAGATGACAGAGGATGTAGTTGTCGTAGTTGAAGATTGCCTTTGAGCAATCGTAAGTCAGGCAATGGTGGTCGAAAGGACCGTGGTTGATCGACAGTGTTCAGTGTGCTCATATTTGGACGACGAAAGTCTGTGGGACCATAATCGGGCGACGAAGGTCTATGGGATCGTAGTTGGGCGATGAAGGTTGATGTGACTGCATTCATGTGAAGGAGGTTGAATGAATCATTGTTAGACGATGGAGGTCTATGGAATTGTAGTCGAGTGATGGTTGGCTGGCGAAAGTCTGACAATTAGTCAGGCGACTATCATAAAGCAAAAGTCCAATGGCGCGCGATCGGTGAGCAAAAGTCCAGTGGAGGCTACCAGGCAAAGGTCTGACAACATTCAAAGGCCTAATGATGATGATAACTTTTTGGATGGGTTAGTCTTACTCTTAAATCTGCCTAAAATAATGAAGGTATTTCTCTATAATTTTTTATGTTAATAACTTTTGCACTTGATATATTTTTTTTATAACCAACCACATTCCTAATTTTAATTATAAAATTGAAAATTCATTGGATCTTTATTATAATGATGATAAATTAATGTTTTTTTTATATATAATGAAGTTAGAAAGAGTTAAGTGTTTGGGGTTTTCCTTATAAATGTAATGATGTATTATATTTAAAATTTTTTGATAGAATAGTTATGATTGTGCACAAACATTGACTTGTAATCTCAAGTCTACAACCATATGTCTTGATCCAACACGATTCTTTCAATTGAATGACTTGTTTGATACAAGTGAAGAGAAGCTTCCATTAGGAGCAGTTCAAAGATGATAATAAGAAGGGAATCATCTAGGAGAGAGGGGAAAACATAAGGAGAAATAAAAAAAAAAAGAGAGAGGGAAGGCAAAAAAACAGAAATAGATATAGGGTGGTTGAACTAATTACTTCAATATTTTAATTCGTCAATGATAATCCAAAGTTCCTTATAAGCATTCATATTTTCTAAGGGAATTTTACATATAATGAAATAACAATAGGAATTTTGTAACATTTTGTATGATGCTCTCAACTAACGGTACACTTCTTCATACATTATGCTGCTACATATGATCTCTTATATAATAATAGAAGCGTGGAAGGCATGGAAAAGAGAATTTTTTATATATATTAGAACTAGTAACAATGTATAAAATTGAAATAGGTTGAGGAACAATAATAATAGATGAAGGCTCCTTTGACTTTGGTGTAGCATCAATCTTTAGTTGAACATTCTATTCAAGATTTTGTTTCAACATCATCCTAAATATGATGAAGCTCAAGGGCTTAAACAACATCATACTTTGATCATCATCATTCTAAACTAGGTGTGCAAATGAGTTAAGTCGAGTTCCAATACATGTCTAACTCAAGCTCAACTCTTGAGCCAAATAACGAGCTCAAACTCTAGTCGAGCTCAAAAAGCGAGCTCAAGCACTCCTCATTTAATTGGAAAGAAGCTCATGAGCAGCTCGTGAGATCTCGTCTTCATGCCCCAATTCCTGACCGCTCCGCGCTCCGCACAACCCCGCCGCGCGACCCCACTCCGGTGCTCCGCGCCCGACCCCCGCTATGCGCCCGACCCCCGCGCGACAACTATGCGTGCTCGCCCCGCGCTACAGCTCCGCGCCCGACCCCCGCGCGACAGCTTCGCGCCCGACCCCGCTTCGCGACCGCTCCGCTCGACCAGCTTTCCCGGGTCGGGTCGGGTCCGGGTTCGCATTTCCGACCCGTTTACCTAACCGGATCGGGTTAGGGTCGACCCGTTTGAACCCGGGTTAGTTCCGGGTCCGACCCGAACCCGACCCGTGACCCGAAATTGACACCCCTACTCTCGAGCCAAATCACGAGCTCAAACTCGAGTCGAGCTCAAAAGGCGAGCTCAAGCACTGGTTGTGTAACTAGAAACAAGCTCATGAATAGCTTGTGATATCACGTCTTCCGTGGCCCAACTTTTACAACATTCTCGCCAGTTCGCCTTTCGCGGTCTGTCCTTCCGCACAATGATCACATGTTCTCTTTTTCATGGTCTGTCCAATTGTCGTTTCGATCGAACTCGAGCTCAATTACGCAGTGAGCTCGAAACTCGTTAAGCTTGACTTGCGAGCTCATTAACGAGTCAACTTGACTCGTTTGCACCCTTATTCTTAACTCAAGTAAGTGGTGAAAGGGTCCATTTGGAATAGCTGCAGCTTTTCATAAAATTAGTTATACACATATTGTGAGGAAAATAACTTTTTTAGAAGTTATTGTACAAGACAACTTTATGCCACATAAATTTCTTTAAAACAGTGAAAAATCATTAGACAAATAAAAAATGTGATTGAGATTAAAAAAAAAAAGTAAAACAATAAAATTGTTGTCGCAAACAAAACCAAAGTAGGACAGGAGCTAGTGGAGAGCTGGGAAAGCTTTCAAGATAAAGCATATAGCTTAACAGACCACATATAAACCAATTTATTGGAGACCTGAACAAACTCAAGTTCTTTAGGGAGCTCGGAGAAAATTAATATTTTGAGTTGAAGCATTTTTACTCACTCAAATAATTTTATAAAATTTAGATATATGTACAGGTCTACAAAATTTAATAAGTGGCATTAGTTCATGCAACTTCTCCATCTGGATGGTCATACTGCTTGCACTATTATTTATTGCTTTTATCACATGCTTCTTCTTCTCAATTAGGCTTAGTTTTATTTCTCAGATCTTTACAAGTTCCTTACTAAGTGCTAACACCTAAACCGATATTATTGCTTCATCTTCTGCTCCACAATTTGGCACCATCATACCCTCTGGCTTTTTAATATTATTTATCTCCTGAGCTCCATTACCAACCCTACTTTATCAAGGGCGGAACCGGCCTTGATTTTTAGGGGGGGCAATTGCCTAAAAACTCATTTAATAAAGAGTAAAAAAAGAATGGAGAAGAACAAATTACCTAAATATCCATAGAATAAATAATTTTTTTTTTTATTTTTTTAGTGGGCCAATTGCCCCCTCTGGGGGCTAGATGGTTCCGCCCCTGTACTTTACTCACCCTTGCTACATCAATGTGTACTACTTTTATCGTTAATAAGACTTCGATTTTGTTTGAGATAACTTTTCACGGTTTTGCTTTGCAAACCGCAGCAACAATTTCTATTTGATCATTATTTTTCGTTGCTTTAAATAAAAAATTGTACTTGAAAGCTGCTGTCTATAATAATTTCAAAAAGTTATTTTCTATGCAACAACTTTACATAATAGTAAAAAAAATTATCATAAACGAAACATTCAATAATAATCTTTTATATTAAAGCTTCACATACAACATCAAAGTAATAAAAAGAACTGAAATAATTCAAAAAATCCCCATAATTCTTCTAATATTGTGTACCATATGGACTTTTTTTGTTTAAACTCTTGTTGGAGAACTCTAATAATATTAGCAAAAATGACTCAAACTTGTAATGTAGCATATCACCCTGATCAAGGATGAGATAATAAGAGAAGAACCTTAATTTAGTTATATATCATTTCATCCGTTCATATCAATACAATTAATTCTTTTCAAAAACTATAATATATTAAAGTACAGACATAATCATTTTATAATCTATGGTATATGATCATAAAAGCTATAAAATTATTATAGAATGTTTACATGTGATAGGGTGATTAAAGATTAAATTTATATTAATATAATATTTTCCATCAAAAAAATTTAAGGTTCACCCGCAGACTTGGGCTTCGTTTGTGACAGCATCTTTGTTGTTTTATAAAACGACTTTCTAATATAAAAATTTCTTGAATTAAAAAATTTTGTACTAAAAAATAATTTTATAAAATAGCAAAAAAGCTGTCCTAAATGAAACCTTAATATGGTACAACTACTGTAATTATATATATCATATTTTCATCTCGTTGAGATAGTTAGGTTTCGATTGGGACAACTTTCTTACTGTTTTATAAAATAATTTTCTATTATAAAATTTTCTAATTCAAGAAAATTTTATATTAGAAAGTTGCTTAAGAAAGCATTAAGAAACCTTTCCCAAAGGAAGCCTTAATTTAACTATAAGTTGGCTGAAATCGGTATCCAAATGGTCCCAGACTTATGGTTCATTTAGGACGGCTTTTTTATTGCTTCTTAAAATAAAATTTTAGTTTTTTTTGTACTAAAACTCTGTTTTAAAAAGCAATTAAAAAGTCATCCCAAATGAACCTTTATTTTTAAATTTTTTTATTCAAATATGCTCCGAGTTTTGTGCCTGATTGAGATGATTTTTGATGATATATCAATTGCCCCCTATTTTTAAACTTCAAAATTTTTGGAGTCCGAAAATATATGTTTGTGCGCTTAAAAACTTTACAATTAAAACAATATATCTTGTCATTAAGAAACTTCTATAAACATGTATGAATTAGTTATGATAGCTGACTACATAATAACGAAAATATATTTAAGCTTCATTTGAGACTGCTTTTTTACAATTGTTTAGTAAAAAATTAAATTTTTTGTACTAAA